GGGAGAGACAAAACTGAGACAACGAAATGTTGAGAAGGAAATTTGATCATTGAGAAAATATAGACTCATAGAGCTTGTTTGGAAGAGATTCTTTGAAAATCATTTTCAACCACACATCTATGGACCCATAACTTTATTCCTAATTTTTAACCACACATTCTCCAAGAAAATCATTTTTCTTTTCAAAAAATCTCTCCCAAACAAGCTCATAATTTGCTCATTGATGGATGATAAGAGCAAGAAAGCCTAGAATGAAGTTAATAGGAAGCACACTCTGGTTGTTTTATTATATCTTTTCAGTTAACTCATGGAAATTCTGACACAACTGGTTTGCTATTACGCAGAAGAAGGAAAATGGAAAGAGAAGGAAAGAAGAGCAAAATTCATTGCGGAAAAATAAAGGCAAAAAGGTAGTTAATGTATTGCATGCTTACATTTGTCCCCAGCTGTTTGTGATTATACTACGAGTATCCTCTTCCTCTCTGTCCTATGTCTTCTGCCGATTAACCGATTCTCCTATGGACATCTGTACTACACAATGTATATGTTTGTATCCATGCACAGCTCTTAATAGCAAAGTTTCAAGTGGCAAAATAGATGGCCTTTCAGTTTCTACTGTAAAGAAACAACAATTAAGATAGACAAATCTCTCACTTTGTTTTTGTTTAGCTCGATTTACAATTTAGAAGTTCCCAAGCAATCACGATCATACTTTTGTTGTAAGGAGAAAAGGGGCCCACTGAATCCGCAGGTCATAATGAGAAAGCTAAAGAAGAATCTCGTTATATACTGGGCCATGCCTTTTCCTGTAAAAGAGTAATTGCTGGTAGGGCTTTTAATATAAATGTTCATAATGATCTTAAGAATACTAGTTTCCAGCTGAATCTGTTACATGGCACCACAGGTGATGGTGTATTGGAAGGTCACTCTCAATCTTTACTTTATTCATTCATCTGATTAACTTTCTTAATGAAGTGTTTTGTTTGTGAATAGATATAATTGAAACGAAGTTTTAATCTGATTATTTCACAGTAAACTAATCATAATCAGTTTGGATAATGCAAGCCAGATGGATACAAAGTAATTGATGGTTAATTTATGCAAGGCCTGATAGGAAATCTGTATGTTTTCACCATTCAAGGGACCTGTTTGGGCCGCTTTGTAACCATTTTTGGGTCTAGCTGTGGATCTGGTTGCAGATTGAATGTTGTTACCCATATCTGTATTTGTAGATTTTGGGGGCAGCAATGCCCTTGAGCTTCTGATAGGATGCTAATGTAGTTTTTGTTTAGATCAGTATGCCGCTCAGTTTTTTAGTTGTCAAATTGTAAAGGTCTTCCCTTCTCTATTTGATTACATATCAGCAAAAGCGATCATGGGAAATAAATCCTTGGGATAAAAAAAGAACTCCAGGCACTGCAGCAACATCTCAAAACCGTTGTTAGTCTAATCCTCCGTCGTATAACCCAATAGTCCTGATGCTGGGAATTATTTCAAGCTTATGTTGTCACTCATTTCTGTTTTTATTTACTTCAATAGACATTACCATTGAATAATTTGTATTTTATTTTATTTTTGGGATTCTCAGGTAAAAGCTAGAGATTCTTTGCCAAGATCTTCTCAAGTTGCAAATCGTTCCAATGGCCCTCCCCATACTCAGATGGTGCTGTCAATCGACGATGATGATGGAATCTCATATAAAGGTTTCCCTTTCTCTGAATGACTAGGGGCTTGTTTTGCCATTTACTTAACCATATGGGTCAGAACTCAGAATTTTTGTTTAAGCATCCCAAGATTATGATTTCTGATTTCTCTCTCAACGTCTATAAAAAGTCTGCAACTCCCTCTTCACAACCGATTGGAATGATGATGTGATATAGGGTAATTAGCATAAAATTGGCTTGATATAATGGTAAGCTTTGTATATTAAAAGTAATCCTCCCTGCTTTCTGGCTAATTGCCTCCTCTCTCCAGCATGGGAGCTCTCGCCCAAGATTACCTTGGTAATCTAAACAATCCCTATCTATGTTAGATTCTAAATTCATAGCAGCATTGAGAGAATATTTTGAAGTTGAGGTTTAGGTGATTAATGACATTTCGTTATGATGTGGATGATCTTTTGGTAGGAATGGATGTTCAACATGGAATTTCGCATACTTGGTCATTTTTATCATTTTTCATAATGTCGTATCTAGATTAGATTCCTATTAGATTCCTATTAGAATTTGGTGAAAGAGAAGAGGTCATACCTGAGATTAAAATCATTGAAGAGGAAATACCACCACCCCTCTCTACCTGTGAGATTACTGGGACAGTTCCATTGCAGCCATGTCTATTTTTCCTTCTACTTTTCATGGATATGCTTCCATGGTTCGATATTTGAAGGGTGTATAAAAAAATTTTAATTGCAGACATTGGTGGAGCAACTGGCCAGCTTCTTGAGCAAAATGCTCACGCCTTGGATCAAATTTCTGCAAACTTTGCTGCTTTCAAGGTAATCTGTGATAATATTTAGTTGTTGAACTACTGCAGAAGAAATTTTACCAATAAAATGTATTTAAAGTGCTATTATGTGCTTCTACCTAATGACTTCTTAATACAAAAACCTGTACATTTGTCTTTCATCAGTTGCTGATAGATGTCTGAGCTGTTATTCAAATATTAATTGCTCTACACTGGTAGCAGGATAATTTGTTTTGGCAATTTACTCGACCCAATGTATTTCAACAGAACAATTGGACCGAAAAGTATATTGTTAGAGCAGTTGTCTATTGTGAGATCAAGTTATATAGAACGAGGGTTAATCTTGTGTGCTGAGACTTCCAAACAAACCCATTCTTCTTCTTCATTATTGGAGAATAAAGGCATCCAGACTATGCTTGTACTAGATGTTGCAGCATGGGGATTAATGTGTGCAACTGATTAGATTCTGTCAGGTTAGGACGACCTGATGAGTATTCAGAAAATGAGGGTCAGTAGGATTATTTGAATATCTGACTGAGGAATTAAAGAGATTCTACCATAATATGGGCATATCAGACTGTAAACTTCATTTTCTGTCCAGGAACTATATATCATTGATCTCTTACTTGGATTCTATTTATGCATTGCGTCTGCTCTACAAACTCAATGCCTAGGCCAAATGGATGCAATCCAAGTTAAAATCACTTTGATTGATTGGCTTCATTGGAAGCATGACAGAAAAGCATCCTTTCTAGCAGTGACCTGATGGTATTAACATTATTTTTCTCGTTCTACTTGCATGCAGATACAGGAGAATATCAATCTCTTCTGCCAAACTCGAAACAACATCCTAACAATATTAAATGAGTACGTATACCGTCTGTATCACTTGATCTTTAGCAAAGAAGAGATGCACTTATTTCATGCTAGTATAAAATATTTCCTCCCTTTGCTATAGTTCTACTTTGATGATTCCCGAATATATTTGCCTGTTATGAATTGATGTGAGACTAATTTCTTGCTTCATTCTTATGTTTATATATTTGGTTGTGGTGACTGAGAATTGCAGCAGAAGTTCCCTAAGGCGTTTGCTACTTAGTTATTTTCTCTAGATGTATTGCGAATTGGCCAGCCAGATTTTCCCTTCTGTTTCCCTGTTTCTTTTAATTAAAACCACACTAGGTGGCTTATTTAATTAAAATCATAAAATAAGAGTACAACCTTAAGAGGAGGGCTGTGCCTAACCTCCAGAAAAAGACAATAAACTTACCCCTTTCAGTTTCCTTCGTTGACTGGGATCTTTAAATTCCTCCAGCCATCCTCGAAATGATATAATATATTGTTTGTCACAATGTGAAAACTTATACCCGAAACCTGAAAATGTGCTTCTGTCTGCGATACATATGATTTTTTCCTCTCAAGAATTTAGGATTAAGATAAGATAGCAAAACAATAGCTTTGGGAAGACATGGACGGGTTTGATTCAAGCAGTCCCTAGTCAAGATACAAAGAATCATCTCTTGCACACTTGTTGTATTTGAAGGTAACTCCCATAATATTGATGGATAACTAAAGGTCTTTTTTGCAGCCGTCTTGAATTTTTGGGTCTGTATTTGATAGTTTATTGGAAAATGAATGAACATAGCCTATATTTTTCATTTAAAAGTAGAAATCATTTGTAGTCATCAACGCCCCACCACCCCCGACAAACACACACAAATCAACTATATACACATTGAGATCATGTCATTGACTGTTATCTTGCAAATTTTTAGACTTTTCTCTCTTTCCTCTCTCATCAGTATGAAGATATACATGACACACGTTTAGATGCATAATAGCAAATCATCACATTGATTATGCCACTTATAGGATCGAGGTGAAGATGTCGGAACTCCCAATGCAGATGCCACCATTTCCTGTGAAACTGAATGAAGAGCTTGCCAACTCCATTCTTCCTCAAACATCCATGCCAATGCCAATGCCAATGCAAATGCAACCTAATCAATCTTGAGAGGGTCTCCTTCCTTGCATAGTAATGATGCTTCTGACTGCTTCGCTTTAGTTGGCACCTTCTACATATTTATGTATAGCAAAATAAACTGCCTAGGCAGTCCAGTCAGAGTCAAATTTTCTATTAACTGTTTATTTCTTATGCACCTTTTTTATTTCGTTGTGTTCTGCTGGATGATCTGTTAAGAGAAGTTTTTATAGCATGTGTAAATAATTTTCAGGTAAAATAAGTTGGAGGTTTTACTATTTAATTACAGGCTGCATTACCTAGATGTTTTATATTTTTGAATCTCTTTCAGTTGATTGGTTATGTATACTATATAGTGCTCCAATCTAATAGCCGGAATATGGTATAAAGCGGAGCGGCGGACGGTAATCACATATTCCTAAATTAAAAGAATTATTTTTTATGTAAAAGAAGTGTATGCAAATAATATAAACAATTAATTGCATTTACAAGATGCTAGATCATCAGCAGCAGCAGCAAAAATGGAAAAGTTGCTGGTATTGTTATTGAAGATTTGTTACTCATTCCACACTGGAATTATTCCTTGAGCAGCCAAACGCTTCTCAACCCAGAATACAACATGTTTTGCTGTTGGTCTTTTCTCATCAACTAGAAATGGCTCTACAGTGCTCACTCCTGTCCCATATGAAGATAGAGAGAAACCTTTGGGACCTGTCACCCAAAAACATATAAATTATATTTACATACCAAGCCAAACAGGGTTATTTTACTTTGGAAATATTAAAAATTAGACATACCTGTGAGATTTCCATCAGGGAAGAATGCCCAAAATGAATATGGGTTGCCCTCCTTAAAAAATGAACCTTCTAACTGCCATGTATTATTTCATTCAACAATTACAAATCAGGCAAAACGTTGAGCTTTATTGAGCTTTCTTGTTGAATATAAAATTTAAATACTGGGCTCGACGTGGTAGTATCAGAGTGGATACATGTCTTGATATAAAATCTCCATGCCACTTATATATGAAAATAGTGAATGTGTTAGATTGTAAAAAAATGAATCACATGAGAAAGGTAAGTTGAAGCATAATCTAATTTTTATTTTTCTCTCTAACAATTTAAACTTTCAGACGAGGGGGGTCAGTGTTTATATCTAATTTTATTTGGAAATAATTTTATACATTTTGCATTTGTAACTGACCTTGTTGTCATTAAATGATAGTTCAAGTTCTGAGATATCATCTTGAGCTTGTAGTGTGTCTTTGAGTGAAGGGATGACATCCTCCTCCATCAACAGAGGCAAACCTTTGGCTTGAGCTTTGGCTGCAGCCTTTGGCTTTGGCTTGGAGGGCTCAGCTTCTTCAGCCTGCTTTTCCTCCTTTTTCTCCTTTGTTTCAGCAGAAACTAGTTTTCACAATTATAAGTAGATAAGACCACTTCTATCTAAAAAGACAACATCTATTTGTGTATAACATTTCACAGATTAATTTAGAAACCACCTGTGGATGTAGATGATTCTTGAACTGCCAAGCAGGTTATATTTCGTTGCCGTGGAGTTACTAGTCTAATCACCTGTTGTGCATAGACAAAAATTTCTTTCATATCCAAATTCGATATTTGCTCACCCCAGATAAGATGAAAATGCGGACATGGGGTGAACCTGGTTCATGGTCATTAGCAACTATCCATGAATTTCAATGTGTGAATTAAGATAGTTCGTACTCTAAAAAAGTAACATGAAATTCTATACGGCGGCATGTGTGTGTATATACAAAACAAGTCGAGAATACCAGTGGAAGGCTGGATCGTGGCCTGGATTTACGACTGAATGAAGATGAAGAAGATGAAAAGCTCGAAAAAGCAACGGATCCTCCGGCCGTAGTCGCCATTTTTGTGAACTCTGATTTTATTAAAATTTAGAGCTCAATCAAGCATTTCATTTTAATGGTTGTCTTTTAGTTTTAACAGAGAGGAAGCTTTATTATCCACACGCTGGTTGGAGCATGGTTGCCACTGATTTTCCAAGATGAAGAATCAACAATTTTTTGCGTTTATAAAGGGCTGTATGATAAAGTTCATTATTGGGCTATTGACAAAGTTGGGTTTAGTGCCTTTTGGGCCTCCTATGGTGCTTTTGAATGTACAATGGAAATTGACATAGATAACACTTTTAGAAGTAAAAATACTGCTGCTAGTATAGCAGTCGTAGTTGGATTTTTAAATATAGCCGATGTATAGGCGAAGAGATGCCAATTACGTGTGGTTGAGTAGTTGAAGTTAACGACCAAAAGATACTCGCGAGTGTATTGTAGTCGAATCTAAATTCACATTGTTTCTGCTAATAGTATATAACAATATAAATAAAAAAAGTACGTTAGATTTTTATCGACAACAGCCCATGTTTGGATTTCATTTTATCCAAAATGCATTTTTCTCTTCTTTTTTAAACCACATATTATTCAATAAAATAATATTTCACCTAAATTCAATTTTTTTTTTTTTTTTTACCACACATTTTTTAAAAAATCATTATTCCAAAATACATTTTTCCTAAAACTTCAATAAAACGGAGCTACCGTTTGACTTATTTATTTTTATTTATTGATAAATCTTGATAATTCCATGCACACGCAATATACGATAAGCAGTCAAAATAAATTCCATGTAGATCATATCACTTGCATGACTTAACTGCAATATATATAATTTTATAAAAATCTAACCTTATATGGAGTCATACCTATCGAACACGTGTATATATATAATTTTATTAATTTCTGGTTTGATTTTTTTATTTTTTGAGTGTGAAAATTATTATTTTTAGAATGTGTCATATGTAAAATTATTTCATTAAAAGCTTGTGTGGTAAAAAATAAAATAAAATGGTTTTTAGAAAATCAGAATCGAAATAGGGCTAAATAGGGATGATAGATGGGTCGAGTTGCTCGTGGGCTCGGCTCAATCCATGGGCAAAACACCATATGTCAGGTCGGACACTCCTTTTTTTTTTGTGAAAATTACATGTAACCCTACTTTTCAAGTTTCAAGTTCAAAAATCAGAATTTAAGTTTTAATGTTCAAAAATCAGATATTTTATAGATAGATACAGAATTTTATATTTAATTAAATATTAATAATAATATTATACAAAATAATTTATATACACTCAACCCCGTGAAATTTCATTATCAATTAACGGAATCACCCTTGTCTTCTCTCATTCCTGATCCATCTCCACGATGTGCCGACGACTTCTCTCCACGCTGCTGCTGCCGGCTCCCCCTCCCTCCCCTTCTCCTCCCTTCGCGACGCTGCTGCCGGCGCGCTATTCTACTGTCGGTGTCGCAGCAGCGTCGCGACGCTGCCCCATGGAAATCTACTGATTACTGATTCGAGGCAGATTTCGATGGAGATCGTGTGTTAGCAGATTTCGATGGAGATCGATGCTGTGTAATTTGTGTGGTGGTGTTGGAGCTGATGCTGTGTAATTTGTGT